AAAGAAAAAAAATTCCCACCTTTCTAGTCATTGTATAGAAGGCTTCTATTGCTCTAGTTATTGTATATAATACCACAGGCAGCTTCTATTGCTCTAGTTATTGTATAGAAGGCCACGGGCAGCTTCTATTGCTCTAGTTATTGTATAGAAGGCCACAGGCAGCTTTTATTGCTCAGGATAGATGACAATGTGCAATTAAAGCCGAGGTAAACTTAGCCCCCCCCCCTCTTGTCCTTGCTGGCACCAACATCTTCATCTGGTCATCTTCTACGTTCGAAAGCTTCAGCCATCTTGATTGGCTGGGCTAGAACGCCGTAACTCCCACACGTGCAGGGGAGTTTATTCAATTTTGCGCTTCAGTGTACATTCTGAAGGTGGTAGGTAAGTTTGTTTTAATGCAGAAGAGATATAGCACGTCTCTTCAATAAAGAAGCCTGTCTGCTTTTTTCAGTTAAGTGTTTTTTTTTTTTTGTTGTGTTTTTTTTTTTACCCCTTTCCCCCTCCTCCCTCTAAAATCATTAATAAATCTTTGAGATATTTAAGCCTCTGTTAAGACAATCTGCACATCTAGTTTACAGCTGATATGAGATCTGCCAGCATAGTATAGACAGCAATAATTATGGTAAACCTCCCAACCCCCCCATTAACATTATTAGAAGAGGAAAAGCTAGGTAGGATTGTTAGGTGAAAAGGTAAGCAGCAATTTTTAAATGATGTGTGAATGGGAACATGCACAGAAGTCGGTGTTATTCCAGTTTGGGCTTACATATACTTTAAAGCTCATTTTCACTTTTGTAGCCAATCACTAAAATGTCATGTTAATATAGTTTCAAATGTGAATATTTTAAAGGAAATCTAAGGAACAAAATGCAATATATCGCAGCATACCAATCCTTAGGTGTGATGGCTGCATTTGTTTTCACTGTTCAGAAAATAACTTGGTTTTTCCAAGGAACACATTGGCTATGTAACTTCCTGTGAATTCACAAACATCCTCATCTTCCTTCCACGCCACCTTCCCCAACAGTTCTGTTGAGGGGGTCTAATGTTGGAGGGACAGCTGTGAATGGCCCTGAGTTCCAGAATGTTGATGGAAAGATGAGATTCGTTTGACCAAGTATGTTGATCTGTTAAGGAATCCAGGACTCCTTTCCAATATGACAGACTGGCATCTGGAAATGGATCTTCCCTGGAATTCCCCAAATCCAGTGCTAACGTTGAAATCCACCATGTTAGAGACCTTTTACCAAGCTATGAATGGTACAGCCTCAAAGGAGGCCACCATTGGCCCAGTACTGAATGGAATTAAAGGGCCTACGACAGAATTTGGCCATGCTTATGTAGGAAGAGGGAGGTGCATCCACGGGAGCAATGAAGGCCTCGGGAGAGGAGAGTCATCATTGTCTGCAGTCAGAATCAGTGCTGAATTTACAGGGGTCCTCAGGGAAGGCATTGTTAACCTCCGCAGAGTCGTTGGCAGAATGTGAGCCAGCAAGGCTCTTGGTCCCATTGTGCAGGGGTACTCGGGAAAACCACAACAAAGTGTAAGGAGTTAAAAGCTGTCCTGGGCCGGGCACTGAAGGCGGCGGCGGAACTGAGGAAATCCCTGAAGATAGTTTTGTGATCTCTGGTGCCACAAGCTCTTTTACATGATGGTAATGACAAGGAGATGACTTGGAAAGGTAGCACTGACAACACTAAATTTAAATCCCACGGTTAGCGAGAAGGTGTAACGGGCAGAAATGTTAGTAACCCCTTGTAAAAAAAAAAAAGTGTAAATCAGTGAATAAAAAATAGCAAGAAGACATGGAAAAAGAACAGACTGCAGACGCCTGCCCTTTTGATGGCGCTTAGAGCCAAATGATGTTCTACATCCAAATGGAGAAATGAATGAACACAACCCACTGAAAAAGCATGTAAAAAACCCCCCCAGTGGCACATACTTGGGTTTTAACAGCAGTCTGGTGTCCATGGTGACTATCTTCCATTGTTAGGGGAGAATTCTGCCCTCTGGCAATACCGTAGACAGAAGCCACCATGACAGAGAAATCTTGATTCAAGGATGTAAGACTAGACTTGTCCCATACCTTGACAATGCTTTGAAGGTGGTTACCATTGGTCCCAGCACTTGAATGCCACTTGGCAGGGAGGGTTGCTATCGGGATAGAAGTTGCCTAACCTGACTGCAGCTATGTCAACTTCTCCTGGCACAGAAAGACCTTGGCCTGAAGGGTATCCAGGAGAAGGCCCAAGTACTTAATGTTTTTACAGAATCACAGATGGGTTCTCGATGTTCACAATTGATTCAAAGTCCTCCAATGTCTGCAGTGTGTACTGGAGTCTAAAGCCAGGGAAGTCTACTCTCACAGCAGCAGATCACCCAATTATCGGATGATGAAGACCCAGAACTGGTACAAGGACTTTTGTGAACAATCTTGGAGCCAAAAAGAGTAAAGTAAACGGCCGATAGTGGTCACCCACAGCAAAGAAGAAATTGATGATGACCTGGAAAGATAGCAATGTGTAAATATACATCCCCTATGTTGATGGATGCCAAGAGGTCTCCATGATGAAGAGACAACTGAATAGATTCTATTCAAAACTTGAAAGTGTATGAAGGCATTGTGGGCCATTAGGTTCAAGACGAGTTGAATGCCTCCTTTTTAGGTTTTGGAGCTGTAAACCGCTTTGAATAAAACCCCATACAGTGCCCAACCTTTTAGCTACATCATCTTCTGCGACAGATAAAGCACCCATCCCAAACACAACTATAAACCTGCTATGCCACTCACAAGAAGTGTCTTCAGATACGGAGACAAACTGCCACAGTTCAGCTCCTGAAAGTTCTGCTAGGAATCCCCGGAAGGGTTGGCCTGACCTGAAAGAGACCTATGTTACTTGGAACACAGATGGGTTGTCATTGCCAACTGCAAGACTGTCACAGGGAGAACCCAAGTATACTTAATGAACTGGGAAAACCTGAACTCATTGGCTAACTGCAGAGACTTCCAGGATTTCCACTATCCAGCCAGAGTTGATGGTAAAAAAAAATATCTTCCAAGTTAAGCAAGAAATAATGCAAAAGGGAAAGTATATCCATTCCCCTAAGGACACTAAGTGAAAGTGAACAGATGTAAAGGTGGGAGGGGTTATAGCCTCGAGGGCTGGCCTTCAGTTTTCTATGTGCCTAGTCCCAATTTCTCCTGCAGGTGGCAGTATAACCCTAGGCTGCTTATCGAGCTGTGTCCCTCAATGGACCATAGTAAAAAAAAAAGCTGTTTCTTGCTATAGGAACAGGGTAAAAAAAAAATGCTAGGGCATGGTCTATTGGGGGGGAAAGGGAGCTTTGGGGTCACATTTGAGTTATACCTAGACATAAACTTTAATTGTATCGGACCTGTCACTGTTGTACACTTACATCAGACACCTGAGGAGGAGAGGGACACATTTACTTATTAGTAAAACGTGTCAAGTGATGTGCTAAGTGATATAATGTATGCCTCTCCTATGCAGAAAGTAAACCTTGCAATAGATTTTTGATGACCATGTCTCCGTTAGGCCACATTGGGCAACACTAAAGTCTGAGGTGCCTTGCTGTACATGAGTCATTTTGGAATCAGGCAAGTTAATGCTGTCACTATTGTTTCCCTGTACTAAGGCATCATATTGCAGCTCTGTTCATCTTGCACCCCCTCTTCATAGAAATAAACATAAAGCTCAGGTGAGCTGTTGTGTTTGTGTCCATAGATGGGTCTCCAAGGCCTTAATAAAATAAAAGGCCTTTGTATATTTAAGGACTACCATGGCTACCCTCATGTGCCCACAATACATAAAACACAAATACAAGTGTTTTGCAAATATGTGGATATTTTATTGCTGTTCAATACTGATATCTATAATAATTTGCTGATTAATGGGGGGGGTTAATTTTTTTTTTTTTAAATACACAGACCAATGCACGTATTGTCACATAAGGGCTGGAGACATTTAACCTTTTATATAATTGGAAAAAAGTCAAAACATAAACACGCCATATCCCATTTTATTTAAAGTTTAATGTATTATGAGTTGTGTTGCCTAGACATTAAAGAATAACTAAGTACAGTTTATCCTTTTTGCCAACCCCTTCTGACCTAAATGAACTGGCCCCAGATGCATATTACCATATATCATGTGGACTTGGCCTGCAGGAATCTTCAGAGCTTTGCAGAAATGTTTTTTTTGCCTCTGGCCACATCTGTGCTATTAATCCATATAGATTTCTATGGGATGGTCTCCCAATACAGGAGATGCTTGGTGAGAAATCCCCATAGATGTAAAAGACAATTTAATGCGCAGGTGCTCTAGGCTTACACCAGGGGCTCGGCACATTCCTGCAGATAGTGGCCATTTGAATCGAGAAAGTGTACATATCGGGGAGGAGGGAAGATTTACTTTAGGGTACAGGTCGGCAAAAATGATACCTGTACTGTGTCTTTTACCAATCTTAAAAGGAACCTGTACTGAGAGAATGTAGGGACAGGAACTGCTGCTCTCCTGAAAATACTAGTGGCCTGGCTGTCTCTGGCATCAATACTGACCTGGAACAAGCATGTGCATTAGAAAGTAAGAACAACTGATTTCCATACTTGTTCCAGGACATTGACTGGAATCAATGGATCATCATGACTAGTATTTTTAGGATGGGTCAGCAATGGCAGGCCACATATTGTCTCCTTGCACAGTTGTGTAAATGTGGAACAATCCTGTATCAGTATGTAAAACCAAGTTTTCTCTTCGCTTGCTGGATATTCCCAGTATCGTAGATCTCCTTTATTTGCTGGGTAGTGCCATTCTGGTAAGCCGGTAGCTGGACTCCACTGGTGTCCTGTACTAGGTAACTTGGCCGAATGCCTCCCCTGCCGGAGTAAACTGGACCGTGGCCCCCACCAGTGCCAGATTGAGCTGCTTTCTTCAGTGTGTATGCATTGCATCCGGCTTTGGTGACCGAATCAATCACTTGTTTGGCGTACTCCTGGAAAGCATCCTCTTCCTTTATCATCAAAGCTTCATTCTGTTGGTCATAAGCTACCTCTGCTTCTTTTTCTGCCTGCGACATGACTTTCTTCTCAGCCTAAATTTTAGCAAATAACATTAAATAGGATTTTGAAAACTAATATCGTACAATCAGACAATATATATTGCATTCCTTAAGTCCTCATTCACACTAGAAAAGGCCGGCACGTACAGCTCCGTGCTGCATGCACGGCCGTATTGGGCAGCTCCCGGGAAGGACCGGTGGTGCATGTTATTAGTACGCAGCCCCTGTCCTTCTCGGAGTACCATACGCCCATACGCCCCCCCCCCACCTCAAGTGCAGGTCCGTATGTGTGGGTGTCCCGGCTCGGATGCAGACAGGATCCATACTGTCGGCGTACGAGTAGGATCACCCGCATGAACGTGTGAATGAGGGCTAAATGTGATGGCTGCATTATTTCTCATTGTCAGGCTATGGACATTTTCAGCAAGTACAGAAATGCCTGTTGATCTTGCCACAGATGCTGTGTCCTTTGTCACTTCCTGTAGACAGCAAAAACAATTGTACCTTTTTTCTTTTGTAACCTTTTAAGCCTATCAATCTATAGGATTAAGCAATTTTGTACCTACGTGCTTTAAAGGGCCAGAGGTCCTAGCCCCTGACCCTAAATGATAATATTATATAGTAGATAATATAATTTTATATTCTGTTTTCTAACATTCATATTTTTTTAAATATACAATCTATCATGTAATAGAAATGATCAAAGGTAGATGTGTGTGGATTCCAGCCTGGGGTGACAACCATGGCCCCTTCCATAGAGTGGAGAAGTGAGTGTTCCCATGAAGGGACAGGAAGTGTGTTATTCACAGGATTACTAGGTAAAAATACAGGGTAAGAAGTCTGAAAATAATAGAATACTAATGCAGTCCAGTCCACCTGTACTCCATCCAAAAGTAGCAGCAACGTTTTGGCTGATGTTGGGCTTTAGGGCATTTGGATTTTAATGAGTTTTATGTTTGTCTATAGAATTTGAATTCAAAGGCTTCTCATACTGCTTCTGGGAAGGACTGCAGCCCCATATAACATGATTCTGTACTGTGCAGGTGAATGTCTGGGTAAGTCTGCAGAGCTTTATAAGAAGGCAGCACTCCAAACCAGGGAACTTCCTGTATGCATTTAAGCAGATTTAAATTGCCATTTAGGCTGGGTTCACACCTGGGCGTTTTTCAGCGCTGATCGAAACGCTCAGCAAGTGAAATCTCATAATTTCCTATGGTCATGGCTTCCCACCTGGGTGTATTTCAGCGCGTGGAAACGCCTACCCCAAAACAAGTACAGGAGCTTCTTTGGGGCGTATTTCCGGACGTATTCATTGGTATTCCCGAGTGTGGCTCGGGGTTAACAAAGCGGTAACCCCGAGACACACTCGGGAATACAGCGTAGGTCTTACCTTGTCCGCGATCCCCACTGTGTCCTCCGGCCGCTGCCGTCTTCCATCCCTTGCAAACGTCCGCATCGCAGGGTGGTACCGTGTGTTTTTTTCCCCAAAAATGGGAAAAAATCATACCGCCAGGGAGGTATAAAAACGAGCGTCGAACGCGCGTTTCACTGAACTGAAAAATGTGCATAACGCCCAAGTGTGAACCCAGCCTAAGACATTGACGATACATTAGGGGACGTTTTATCAACAAAGGTTCCAGCCATTGCCTCTGTTATGTGACGCACTTTGCTAATCTTTTATAGACATGCAACTAATGTAGTATAATATTGCATCGTAATCATGTCATAAATGTGCCGTATTGCTTTGAGCCCACTGCTTTGTTAGATTATAGCAGATTTGGCACACTGTCGCATTGTGTGTGTGGAAAATTTGCAATTAGCCTAAAAATAGTTCTCAGAAACGGATTTTAGGAAGTCGTTTTGAGATATTTGTTTGAAATGTGGTCTTCATCACTTCTTAATTATGTGACCGCTGTTTTATTCTGCCGCAATCTAGTTCATAACTAGACACTTGCGACCAATGTGTGGAAACAGGCAGACATTAAAAAACAGAAAATGGGGCTTGCAAAATGTTTAGCTGCAAAAGGTGGAATAGGAGCTGCAAATGGTTTAACGCATTCGCATGGTGAGACATTTGGAAATAACGCACAACTGCTTTCCTACATGTCCCCCAGTGACTTTGCTGGCAGCAAGGAACAAAAGATGAATGCCAGCGTAAACATTCGAGTAATTCAGCAGGGACGTGCATTCTGAGCCAGTGTTAATATCGCAACCCCTTTATGTTAAAGTGACGCTCAACTCAGGAGATAAATCTTAAACACATTCAAGTTCCTTAACTATTACAAAAATGTATCTTATTTATCCATAACAGCTGTAGATCCTCAAATCATCTCTGAATTCATGCTGACACTGTCCTTCCTTCTGAAGGGTGACTACTTTTATCCCCATGGTCCCGGTGTGTGTTGTAAAGTAGTCACCGCTCCAAGCGCGCTCCCGTGATGGATTACAATCTCAGTACAAATTGGTAAACTAAAGATGAGATTGCAGTCCATCACAGGAGTGAGCTTGGAGCGGTGACTACTTTACAACACACACAGGGACCATGGGGAACAAAAGTAGGAAGGACTGTCCCAGAAGGAAGGACAGTGTCAGCACCAATTCAGAGATGATCTACAGCCGAGTGATAAGGTGGCCATACACTTTACAACCATCGCAAGACCTTAGTCTTGCGATGGTTGTAAAGTAATTTAAAAAACGTACGATCTGCCCATCTTGGACAGGCAGATTGTACTCTCGATCATCGCAAGCCCGCCCCCCTGAGGGGCGGGCTTCCGATGACCGCAATGCTGAACGAGCAGTGTGCGCATGCGCACACTGGCCCGTTCGGCATCTGTCTCCCGAGCACCGTTCAAACCAGCCGAAAATCGTACGATTTTCGGCTGGTTTACTAGCGTGCTCCTTAGACAAAAGACGTGCGACCGTACAGTAGAAATGGTCGCACGTCTTCGTTCACACTGCTCGATTCTCATACGATCGCGGGATTTCTCGTACGAGAATCGAGCAATATATGGGCACCTTTACACAAAATACATTTTTGTTACTAGTTGGTACTTGAATGGGTTTTTAAGGTGTAACATCACTTTAAATCCATCTAAAAGCAGAGAGTCGTGCAGTATATTCAAGTGCAGGTGATAAAATAAAGAGTCTTACCATCTGTTGGATCTGCATTGATTGCACCTTCTTACATTGGTCTTCTGTTTGTCTCATTTTCTCTTTCTGCTGATCAAAGAAGAAATTATCCGCCTCTCTTATTTCATAAAGAGCTTGTAATGCCTTCAACTTCTCTGCTTTTTCTTCCTCTTCTTTTTCTCTTCTCTGTTATAAAACATAGCACATATTTCATAAAATGATGTTTTGTGCCAGAATGCTAAACTTCTCATATGCGTATAGTACCTAGGTGATTATATGAACTGTCTTGGAAAGTTGGACATCTCTCAACTGGGGCACTTATTCCATTATCTATCAAGCATCACATTCACAGCTGCCTATTTACATCAATGCTTTAGCAAAAGTGCAAAATTCCTTAAAGACACACTGTCACGAGTCAATTCCATGATAGCCCTTACCTCCAGCATGGTGTGCACACCACTGGGGCTGCCTCCGTGTTCTGTCAGAGCCCACAATCTGTTGCTACATAGGAGCGGGGCTTCCAGGTATGGAGGAGCATGTGAGCTCCCCCATGTGATGTCATCTATTGGAGCTAACTCAGGGTGGGCTCCTGCCATGAGGAGTGGAGCGGTGAATATACCGTGCTTGGGGGGAGGTGGACTGAAGAGGCATTGTCTCTTAATCTATCTTCCCTGATATTGTCTCTTTAATCTGACTTCCCTGCTATATTGGAAAAAAAACATGTTCTGAATAAATGGCTGACATGGTCTTTTCCAAACTGGACCCCGAATGGGAGGTTCATTCTAATCAGCTGGTGGACTTCCGGTGTTGTAATGAGGAAAGGGGCAGTGTCTGCATGCTTTTAGAAACAATTAACGCTTAGGTAGTATCTCCCCATTGTCACCAAAAATGAAATTCCTATTGCAAGGGATGTATTACTTGTATCTTAATGCAGACAGGTGACGTGCGGTACCTCTTGATCCGGGTGAGGCATTCCCCAGCCCTCCCTCCTGTCGGACGAAGCCCGGCCCCCTGTCGGACGAAGCCCAACCTGTCCCCAAGCTAGTGTAAAGGAGGAAGGGAGGAGACGGGTAGGAGCCTCCCTGTCCCTCACTGCTGAGGCGCTCCGTCCATGACCGGTTACACAGCGGAAAGGATTTCCCTGTGGTGTAACCTGTTAGATGCCGATCTGAATGGAGAAAAAGCTGTCAGCTTCAGGACTTGAAGCTGACCGCTTTTCCTCCATAATTCTAGGTGAGGCTCTGCCTCACCTGCCTCCCTTGACTGCACGTCCCTGATGCAGACATTCTACAAATCAGTCATCCAATCACAGAAGCAGGAAATGACATTTCTGGGGGTGTTCTGTACACCAGCTGTGTACAGAATGCTTCCAGGTCGTCATAGTGGATTGATTTTTGACAGTTTTAGAAAAGGTAACTATTAATAACATTAGGTTACAAAATGGCTCGTGTAGCAACTATACATGCTGTATTCTCTTTTTTTTATGTTAATGCTTTAAAATATTACTTTTTACTTTTAAGGTTATTATTTCTGTTTGTGATCAAATTGGCGTCCCCCCCCCCTCAGTTTTTCTCCCTGTGATGGCCCATAAAAGAAATGGGTGGAGAGGTCATCCTCAGGACAGGAAAATAAAGACATTGTCAGAAATTCTAACCCTTTCTACTCTACTAAAAATGTGGTTTTCCTTTTGTTCCTACTGGAGAGATTCCCTATCACTTCATGCCCTGATAGGAAATGGGGGGAAATCTCACCAGTGTGAACACAGCAATGAAAACCTAACAGAGGTTATAACCTTTTTTCGACTTGGTGCTTTGGCTGGCGTTTGGTTTTAATCTGATGCTATATTGGAAAAAAAACATGTTCTGAATAAATGGCTGACATGGTCTTTTCCAAACTGGACCCCGAATGGGAGGTTCATTCTAATCAGCTGGTGGACTTCCGGTGTTGTAATGAGGAAAGGGGCAGTGTCTGCATGCTTTTAGAAACAATTAACGCTTAGGTAGTATCTCCCCATTGTCACCAAAAATGAAATTCCTATTGCAAGGGATGTATTACTTGTATCTTAATGCAGACAGGTGACGTGCGGTACCTCTTGATCCGGGTGAGGCATTCCCCAGCCCTCCCTCCTGTCGGACGAAGCCCGGCCCCCTGTCGGACGAAGCCCAACCTGTCCCCAAGCTAGTGTAAAGGAGGAAGGGAGGAGACGGGTAGGAGCCTCCCTGTCCCTCACTGCTGAGGCGCTCCGTCCATGACCGGTTACACAGCGGAAAGGATTTCCCTGTGGTGTAACCTGTTAGATGCCGATCTGAATGGAGAAAAAGCTGTCAGCTTCAGGACTTGAAGCTGACCGCTTTTCCTCCATAATTCTAGGTGAGGCTCTGCCTCACCTGCCTCCCTTGACTGCACGTCCCTGATGCAGACATTCTACAAATCAGTCATCCAATCACAGAAGCAGGAAATGACATTTCTGGGGGTGTTCTGTACACCAGCTGTGTACAGAATGCTTCCAGGTCGTCATAGTGGATTGATTTTTGACAGTTTTAGAAAAGGTAACTATTAATAACATTAGGTTACAAAATGGCTCGTGTAGCAACTATACATGCTGTATTCTCTTTTTTTTATGTTAATGCTTTAAAATATTACTTTTTACTTTTAAGGTTATTATTTCTGTTTGTGATCAAATTGGCGTCCCCCCCCCCTCAGTTTTTCTCCCTGTGATGGCCCATAAAAGAAATGGGTGGAGAGGTCATCCTCAGGACAGGAAAATAAAGACATTGTCAGAAATTCTAACCCTTTCTACTCTACTAAAAATGTGGTTTTCCTTTTGTTCCTACTGGAGAGATTCCCTATCACTTCATGCCCTGATAGGAAATGGGGGGAAATCTCACCAGTGTGAACACAGCAATGAAAACCTAACAGAGGTTATAACCTTTTTTCGACTTGGTGCTTTGGCTGGCGTTTGGTTTTAATCTGTGTGTGTGTGTGTGTGTGTGTGTGTGTGTGTGTATATATGATTTTTAGTGAATTGTGAGCAGAGTGAATAGCAAATAGCTCAATATTAACACCCTCCCTCAGATCTACACCTTTCTGCAGGTAATACAAAGAGATATTGACTGGCGCAGTTGGAAATCCATGGCCATTGGAGTCACAGGCTCAGTTACTTTTTCTGAGAACAGCAGTCTACCAACCCCCAGGAGATTTTACAGAATGGTGCAGACTAATATATACCTAAGCATTGCTAGGATTAAACAAAACCTGACGGGTACTGTAGGTGTGTCCTCTCTATGAATCTGAATTGTAGAAATGTCACCAGCACACCAGTCCTTTTAAGATAGCAAAAGCTTCATTTATTGACGTTCTTTGTCATATGAACAATAAGCGCTTTCGGAACCACACAGGGTCCCTTTATCAGGCTTTAGCATTGGCGGTTAATGCTAAAGCCTGATGAAGGGACCCTGTGTGGTCATTTCTACATCCGCAGTCACTGCGAACACCCCCCACTACAAGGGACATTTCGGTAAGGAGCGCAACAAGGATAGTATTTATTTACTCTCTATGAATCTGCCTAGTGTTTTTCTTTAAGCATGTTATTGGAAGAACTATTCATATTTTGTATAGAAAAACAAAAGTCCATATGAGTGATTTTATATAATCAGAAAAAAAATCAGTTGTATGCTCACCGTTCTAAGCCTATGCTCAGTGATGGCTTTGATATCTGCTTTCATCTTCTTTTCTTTTTGCTCAGTTTCTTTTTTGTTTTTGGCTTCCATTTCTGCTTCAGCGTTTTTTATACGTTCCGCTTCATCAATAACTTTCTGTTTCATTTGTGCTGCCAGCAGTCCTGAGATTCGATCCCTGCGTTCCACTGTTTGCCTAGTGGCCAACAAACCAAGCCATTGGAATCATTAAGATTGTCTGAAGTTGTGCAGGTTGATGGAAGAGGAAGAATGGCAACTGGTTGTAGACCAGAGGGGTATAAAGGAAGCAGAGTGGAAGCTGGTCATTACAGGCGTGGAGAGGAGAGAGGAGTAACGGCTGACCATGGCACATTGGGAGAGGCAGAGTAGAGCTGATGGGGGAGAAAAGATCGTGGTGACAGTGTTTGAGCTGATCCAGTACAGGGAAGAAAGAGAAATGGCAGAATGAACAGGAACATGGAAACGGTACAAAGAGAGGAGGCAATGTGTGAGCCTAATTAGGACACAGAGAGGCACAAAGGAGATGATCAAAAATGTGGAGATTAGGGACAAGGCAGTGGGAACTAATCATGGACAGTGGATAGAGGAGGTGGAATGTGATCTAATCATGAACCATTGGGAACTAGACAGAGTGGGCTGGTTGGGAAAGACTGGGGAGGTATAATTGTGGCATGAAGAGAGAATTAGAGTGGAGATGAACACACGGAAGAGAGGAGGCAGTGTGAAAAAAAGTTCTATGGAAAATGTAAAGGAGTATCAGCTGATTGCGTTTTCATTGGGCTGAACTTGGGCTGGGGATGGCATCATATATAACCTGTCCTTTATCCTGTCTGAGGAAGAACAGCAGTTCATACCAATTTTCTTGGTGTGTGTCAAGTCATTGAGCAGCAGTTTGCAATAGCCACAAAGTACCTCTGATAAGGGATGGGGCTTAGCCAAATAGGATGGGCTTGGTGGGAAGGGGGCAGTGCTGAGAACAGGTATACCTATGGTATTTTATACATGCTTTGGAGTTTGTCGGGCTACATTGGTGATAGTGTTTACAGACAACATACCACAAAATAGATAGCAGTGTGTAGAATGAGGATCACAGAATGCCAGGGACACTGGAACAGAAAAGTGGTAACGAGGCCCCAGGGACAGGGCTCAGTGTTGAGAAACTATAAAAAGTACATTTGACTTGGAAGTGTGTATAGTGCCTAAGGCTGGGCGCACACCTTACAACCATTGCAAGACTTTTGTCTTGTGATGGTTGTAAGGTAATTAAAAAAACGTACGATCTGCCCATCTTGGACAGGCAGATCGTACGCTGAGGGGCGGGCTTCCGATGACCGCAATGCCGAACGGGCAGTGTACGCTTGCACACACCGGCCCGTCCGGCTTTTACCCTACGAACATGCTACACACCCGCCGAAAATCGTACGATTCTCGGCGGGTTTTCGAACATGTTCGTAAGATAAAAGTTGCGCAACCTTACAGTAGTAGAGGTTGCACGGCTTCCACACACCTTACGATAAATGTGTGTGTGGGCACCTTAATGCAGCAGATGGAGTTTGGGAGAGATCAGGGTGAAGTGCAATGTGAACAGGTGCAGACATGAGCAGGGTGTAGTGCGAATAGCAGGGGGAGACCTGCAAGAAAATCTACAGTGGATATTGAGAGGAAAGCTGTCAGACAATAGTGCAGACCATCGGGTGCAGCTAGAAAATGCAGTGCGGATGGCAACCACAGGATGTAGTGTTGGAGAATTGTTGGAGCAGCATGGGTATGAAGGTGGGTGACAAATGGCCGCTGATTTAAACTTTTTAAATGGTTTTCTATTTTTATAAACAAATATGGAACTTCCCTTTTAAGCTTTATGGTTCCTATTATTTTTCAGAGCAAGGGTTATCAGTGGTGACTTTTACACCTTGCAATGCAAATATGGCTGCCTCTGACTAAGAAAGAAATGCCACAACCCAGTTCTGCCATTTCAGAAACAGAAGGACTTTTTGCTTTAAAAGACATTTTTGGGAATTTACAAAGGCAGAATCTGGAGTAGCTGTACATGGCAACCAATCAGCTTCGAGCTTTCATTTTCAAAGCTTAAAGAACTCCCCTTTTTTTTTTTTTTTTTTTAAAGTTAACCCTTGCAGTGGTCCTAATCCCACACTGCAAGGGCTAACTGCTCGTTTTTTTCCTAAGGGCTGGGATACAGAAGATATACTCACCTGATTCTCAGTCCTGCTGCGGTGAGTGATCACCTCTCTGCCCCTGCTGCGGAATGTCCCACGACAGCCTCACATCTAATGCAGGTGAATGGACTGCATTAGATGTGATGTGAGCAGGGCTTAGACTGCCAAAGCATGGGGCAGAAGTGGCTGTGAGGGACTGGTCTAGCAGCCAGATGGGATCGATGATCAGATGAGTATATATTTTTTTATTTTAGCCCCTAGACAAAAATGAACAGTTAACCCTTGCTGTGCGGGGTAACCTCACTGCAAAAGTTAGCTTTTTAGATTCCTGGAGTTAACTGAACAATCTGAAGAGAGAAGCTGATTGGTCGCCATGCACAGCTGCTCCAGATTCTGTCTGCTCCAGTTTTAGTAAATTTTGTCTGCCATCATAACAGTACCCAAGGCCTGGACAGCTAAAAAACCAGCTGATATCTTCCAGTTTGGGGTTGAGAATCTTGTAACACCAAAATCCGGGTTAAGAAAGTCCCAGCACCCTGCAGCCTAGGACTTGTTCACATCCTCACCTGTGTAATTCATCCTCTCTCTCTTTTTTCAAGTTGGACATCTTTTTCTTCGCAAGAATGAAGCGACGTACCAAGTCATCATTCTCTTCTTCCTTCCTTTTCTCAATTTCTCTGAGCAAGTTTGTGTCGGCGACATGTGCCTGTCAAATAACCAAAGGTATTCCCATATTTACATTATATATTTAATTGTTTTAGCTGGGATAATTGTGTCATCAAGTTCCAATTCATTATAGTTTAGTTGTGCCGCAGGCAAGTCCAACTCAAGTGCAAAAGGTGGCCATACACTCTACAACCATCGCAAGACTTTAGTCTTGCGATGGTTGTACAGGGATTAAAAAAACGTACGATCTGCCTATCTTGGACAGGCAGATCGCACTCTCGATCATCGCAAGCCCGCCCCCCTGAGGGGCGGGCTTTCTGATGACTGCAATGCTGAACGGGCAGTGTGCGCGTGCGCACACCGGCCCGTCCGGCATTTGTCTTCCGAGCGCCGTTCTAACCAGCCGAGAATCGTACGATTCCCGGCTGGTTTTCGAACATGCTGGTTCGACGGAAGACGTGCGACCGTACAGTAGAAACGGTCGCACGTCTCCGTTCACACTGCTTGATTCTCGTACGATTGCGGGATTTCCCGCGATTCTTGTACGAGAATCGAGCAGTGTATGGGGACCTAAAGATGGGCCGTAAAGGTGGTGGCACCTTCGTTCACAGGCCACACTTTGATGGATACATGTAGGTGACAATTATGTTGTAATAATAAAAATAACTGATGAAGAGAATTGCTTAGGAAGCTCCAGGGCAGTGTAACCAGCTGAGACTGTCCACCATCTGCTGTTCATGCTCCTCATTAGTGATGGGCTCGGGCGTGTTCGCAAGCGCGAGTGAACAAGGCCTAAGGCCCTGTTCACACCTTTACGTTTTGTCGTGCAGTCAACGCTCTACAAAATGTACAAACATGAAAATCCCATTGTTTTCTATGGGTATGGTTCACACCTTTCCGTATTTCTGCCCGTCTGAACGGCCTATGCCCAAAGAAGTACATGTACTTCTTTGGGGCGTTTTGGTCGCGCGTTTCCATTGGGATACAGCCAAGTAGCCCTCGGAAACGCGCGTTAGACGCGTGTTTTTTTTTACAAGCCGAACATCTGAAGTGCGCATGCGTCCGCCCCAAGATCCTTTGCAGCCGCCCGAGACTCTTCAGATGCTCGGACGGGAGCGCGCGGCGAAGACACAGGTAAGTTTAAACCTGTTTCAAAAGTTTTTGTTTTGTTTTTAAGTTTTTGCATATATCTACTGCTAGCTAGCAGTAGATATATGCAAACAAACGTGATGGTTTAATAACCCTTTAATGCACCTAAAGCATACTGCATTTGCCCATTTTTGTACTTTGATGTTTCCTACTATTTATACTATTTTCTAAAAAGAGGACTTTAAAAGGACAACCTTCTTCGTGTAAGAAGAAAGATGAATATAGCATTAAAAACCCTTTTATTGATAAAAAAAGACACCACTTCTCAACACCATCTCTATCAGCACAAAATATAACATATATGACTATAATTTTGTTAATATTGATAATGTAAAAAATGAGCAACATGCTTTAGAGATGTGCAGGTGATGAGAAATCATGTGGCTGTAAGATTTATGGGCTTTTTGGATAATCTTTCTAAACTTGGTAAATGTCTTCTAAAGGTGCCCATACACCAGCCGATTTATCGTAGGAAATCCTGCGATCGTACGATAATTGGCAGGTGTGTGGAAGGCGTGCAACCGTTTCTACTGTACGGTCGCACGTCTTTTGTCTTACGAGCATGTTTGAAAACCCGCCGAGAATAGTACGATTTTCGGCGGGTTTGTGGCCTGCTCGTAAGACAAATGCCGCACGGGCCGGTGTGCGAAAGCGCACACTGCCTGTTAAGCATTGCAGTCATTGGAAACTCTACCCTCAGCGGGGCGGGCTTGCGATGATCACAAGTGCGATCTGCCTGTCCAAGATGGGCAGATCGTACGTTTTTGTTTTTTTTTAAATTACCTTACAACCATCGCAAGACTTAAAGTCTTGCGATGGTTGTAGAGTGTATGGCCAACCTTAGGCTTCATTCACACTGGCGACTTGGGATTCCTGAACGGCAACCTACAGATTCCTGCGGCAGGAATTCCAGATGCCCAGTTTAGATGTGGCCGCTGTACCTGTCCAAGTTAATGACTGAGGTAGCATCTGTAAGCGGCAGTCCACATGTAATCCATATATGAAACAATTACATGCGGTTTGAAATGGATCACTGTCTCTGGATGCAGGAAAAATGCGTCCAGGGACAGTGATTGATTATCGCATGTAATCATATTACTTGGGATTACGGATGCGGCTGCTGTCATCCGGTCATTAACTTGAATGGGTACAGTGGCCTCATCTAAAGGGGATATATGATATTCCTGCTGCAGGAATTCCAAATCATAGTGTGAACAAAGCCTTGTGACTATGGGGTCTATTCACTAAGCTGCCGAAGGATCTAGCCTTAACTTCGGCCCTAGGACACCTTCGGTTCAGTAGAATCGAAGGGCTGCTGTACGGGCTTTTCGCTATAGCCCGTACAGCTCCCGAAGTTGGCCGAGTGGCTCAGTCGAGCCGATCGGCATATGCCTCGGCTCGACTGAGCCGCAATGAAAGCCGAAGCTGGCCGAATGGCCGGCCGACAGCCTGCTTCTGGCAGCCGTCATCTCACGGCTGGCTCCGGCCACTTTCAGAGAGATCAGCGTCCCTGGTTACCAGCTAACCAGGGACGCTGTCATTACACACAGAGCGGCCTCTCCGTGTTCTCGGTGTGTAATGACAGATGGCATTCCTGGTAACCAGGAACGCTATCTGTCATTACTCTCCCGGACGCTCTGGGAGTCTAATGCGATTCTCAGCTGCCCGGGAGAAAAACACTTTCTCCCAGAAAGGTTCACTCTGCACATGCATGAGCATGTTCGGCCAACCTGAAGCCATGCGAAGCAAGCCGATGTACGGCTGATTTCAGCCAATATACACGGCTGAAATCAGCCGTACAAGCCTCAAGTGAATAGCCAAACAGTGTTCGGCTCACTTCACTTGGGGTCGGTTGTTCACTCGGCTGCCCTCGGCAGCTTAGTGAATAGACCCCTATGTGTTTTTAACTACTGCAATAAAAGAACTACAGATCATTATCTTTGTTTTTACACTAAGATGGTATAGTTGTATACTATATAGACTTTGGAGCAGACATTCGTACCTCCCTAAAAGCACCCTATATCTAAAGATAAATGTGTTCCAGTCTTTGGTATTTACTGACCAAATGGGCTCTCATTAATTCTTTTTTCTCTTCCAGTTTCAGTTTAGCCAGCTTGTTCATTTCCCACTCGTGCAGTCTGGTCAGTCTTCTGATTTCTTCACCTTCTCTGTAGTTAGTTTGTTTCTCCAGTTCAGCAGCATGTCTGTGATCCTCCATCCTGGGGAGAAATTAACCACATATGAAAGCTGTACCTGCTGTAAACATCGGAAGAAAGCAAAAAGGTAAAACGATAGACTAAGACTCTCAACTGCTTTAAAGAGCACCAGTCTTGTTAATGGAGCATTTTAACCTTCTATGCTTGCTTTGACCTTTTAAAAAAAAAAAAAAAAAAAAACTATATACACACAGACAGGCTCATCAAGTGCTAGTAAGCTGACAAAACAATTTAAAAAAACTAAAACAAAACAGATACAACAAAAAATGTGCCAGAGAGAACATAGTAAATCTTTACATACTGCTTGAAAAGCTCATTTGCGTTCTTCTTTCTTTCTGTGAGGCTCTGCAGTGCTTTCTGCTGGTCATTATAAATACTTTCTTCCAGTTCTCGCTGCATGTTAGCCAGAGTGTCTTTGCCTTGCTTATTGCTCATGTTCATGATCTTATTTTTGAGCTCTAGTTGTGCATCTTGTTCTTTCCTGACTTCGGTAAGTAGCAGCGCACTCTGCAAATAATACAGGTAACACATTTCAATCAGCTGCATGTTCTTAGTTTGACTTCAGCAGAACCAGCTGAGCTTTAGCACAGAAGGTCTCTATGACTCAAATAAATGATAAGAAATATAAAACAAACTATGTACATGGAAGGTCTTGACTTTATCAGTCTGGTAGTATTGGTCGGTCCTGGCTTTCTCAATAGCTTCTCTTCTTTTCTCTGCCTGATAATGGGCCTCCACCAGATCAATTTTCTTCTTTTCTTCCTCTTCTTTTTCCTCTCGAACCTGCTTTGCTTTTAGCCTCTTCTGCCTCAAACCCTTTAAAGAATATAGAAAAAAAATTAATGGTGGTCATTGTTCTATGATATTAATAAACACACATCAATGATCATTGTTACTCTTAAAAGCTAAGAGAGAAGCACTGCTAATATTAAAACAGACCTATGCTGAAATAATCCCCTTACAGAAAACGTGGACAGAGAAATACTGAAGTTGCCATTGCTGACCTATCCTATAAAGCAGTGGTTCTCAACCTGTGTAACCTCAGGACCCACATTTGTCCTTGGTCATTAAGTCTTGAACCAAGTCGTATCACACTGGAATGCACAGCTTTGCAGTACCGTGCGTTCTGGTGCGGGCGATCAAACTGTGGGTGAGAGGTACGTTTGTGGTGCCATTCAAATGAATGGAAATGCAACACACTTCCCTCATCAGAATGCGCGGTAGGTGCGATTGCGTGGTAGAGGTGCCGTGAGCCAGAATGTGACGTCACTCCGGTCCAGGCACCTCCCACAGGGCACGTGAGGGAGCTGTAAGCAATGCACATATGGATGGCGCTCCCCCGTGGCCATAGCCCCATCCCGCCCCACCTCAAGCTGACATTTTGCACCGGGCAGCACATTTTGAATGGCTGCTTGGTGTGAGAACTGACAGTGCTGCGGTAGAGGGAGGCTGAGGGGCCTCTCACTTGGAAAAGTTGAAGGCCTGCGGTGACCCACTGAACACGGGGTTACCACCCACCAGTTGAGAACCACGGCTATAAATGATAGCTGCCAGACTGCCTTTGGCAACTTTCTGAGTAACTGACCCAGAATAAGCATGCAGCAGCATGCTGGTCCAAAATCAGTGACTCAAAGTACTGAAGTGAGAAGATCAGCATGGCAGCTGGGCAATTTGTAGTCTCAAAAAGGGCAGTCAACAATGGCGGTGCACATACGTCTTTCAGTAAAGGTTTCCTTTAAAGGCAAGAATTGTAAAGAAAGGGCTGAAATCTTTGTCCTGCAGAAACTGATACTACTTAACAGAAGAAGATACTCTTCTGTCCTCCTGTAATGCTGGGAGTGGGGAACACATTTAAATGTCAGCGGTTGCTAGGACTGCCCCACAGTCTTAGCAACCAATGATTGCAGAGGATGTGGACACCTGATGTCATTGGTTGAAGAGGGGATCTGCGCTGGTCTATGGCTGGCAGTGAATGCACTGGTCTTGGAGGCCAGTGAATCCCCCGTCAGCCAGCCATAGCCCAGCGCAGGTCGGCAATCACAGTTTGCACAGAACCACCACTCGGTTGTGCCAGGGACAGTGAAAGGGCCAGATGTGGCCCAGGGGCCATAAAATGCCCAGGTCTGTTCTACAGAGAGTTAGCTAGGGGGTCCTATCAAAGTTTTGCAATGGGGTCCCATGATTCATAGTTGTGCCCCTGTTCTGCAGAATACAATTGCAATATATGCATTGGAGAAAACAGGCTAGTCAAGGTAGAAGAAGTGTTATTTCAGAGAAGGCCTGCTTCAAAAGAAAACCTGTGCTTTGCCCACACAGGAAAAGCAACAGGATTAATAGCACGTAATCACTTTTTCTTCACCCCCGCTCCATTCATCCCCAGGAGCAAAAAAGGAAGCCCTGTGTAAGCTCTGATTCACAGTAGATAGAGCTTACACAGGGCTCAGGACTCTTTTACCACCTCCATGTGACAGCCCTGGGCCAATCACCAGCTTTGTCAGATAAGAGGAAGGGTTAGTGGGTCACACATTTCTGCCATATCTGGATTTATCGACTATTTTCTTCAATCCCAGAAGCTGAACGAAGCGGTGAGGCGTGAGAGAATGGAGGGGAACATTAAACCGAATCTGCGTGAGTTGTTAGAGGCTAATAAGTATGACCCCTGGAATCGGCAGTACATTTGATGGAAAACCTGTCTGCACAAGTCTACATCCCAGATAGCAAGCAATTGAAGTTTGAAAATGACTTGCTATACTATTGCAGACTTGCCAAACTTCACAATTTTGTTGCACAATTACAGCAAGTCTGCATTGCAAGTCTCCAGATCAACGTGCTTTCCAAAAGTGCTGTACACTTGCAGAGCTCTTGCTAAGACCTGCAGGACTCTTGCTGTAGACTTGCCAAGCAAATTTGCTACAACTTGCCAGGAATGTGTGCAGCACGTTAACAAGCATTACAAGCAAGTACATGAGGGGATGTACTTGTACTTGGGCCTGAAAAAGAGGCATTGGGACAACACTAAATTTAACCCTACCACAGGTTTGTGGCACGTTATCCTTGCTATCTGGGATGTTGCAGAAATAGATTTAAAAGAAAACTACAGAGTCATTTAATACAGCCATGGACACGCCTTCCTTCTATTGACTGCAAATCTTAATCGTGGCTAAAGATGCATTTCTAGCCTATATCACAGGTTCTGGGGCTCGTATTCAGCGGAGGGGGAAAAAAACAAAAATCTACCGCCATATAGAGATATAGAGATGTTATATAATGAACAACTCACAGATATGGTGTTGGTCCAGTTTTTTACCACTTCCTGGGAACGTAAATGCAAGGCTTCCTCCTCCTTCCTCTCTTCATAAAGCCTCCTTGCTTCAATTTCCAATGTGTTATTATAATTCACAATCCGTTCCCAGTCTGCTTTGGGAAGCACGGCGACTTGACGCAAATCCACGGGCTTTATCGATAAATCACTATTGTCTGTGACCTTTTCAGCTGCAATGGAAAAGACTGACTTCTTAGTTTATTACAGCAGACAGTAACAGTCTAGAGAAAGTCACTGTAGGGGAAGGGAGTGCAAGAGATGATGAAAGGAGTCACAAGGCTCTTTATTCAGAAAAAAGACAAAGCCATCTCTAACATCTCTTTTTAAAGTATATGGTTTTTATTCAGGACGGTTGTAGGTGTATAAAAACAGGAAAAGACATCACAGTATTATTATTATACAGGATATATATATATATATAGCGCCAACAGTTTGCGCAGCGCTTTACAATATAAGGAAGACATTACAATCACAATACAATTCAAGACAAGATGGTAAGGAGAGCCCTGTCCCTGAGGGCTTAGAATCTAAAGAGGAGGGGGAAGTGATACATGAGGAGGTTACTGTGCTGGGATGATTGTTTGAGAAAGTGATTGTTCAGTGGTTAGGTTGAGGTGGGATAGGCTTCCCTGAAGAGATGAGTCTTAAGGTGGCCATACACTCTACAACCATCGCAAGACTTTAGTCTTGCGATGGTTGTAAAGGGATTAAAAAAACGTACGATCTGCCTATCTTGGACAGGCAGATCGCACTCTCGATCATCGCAAGCCCGCCCTCCTGAGGGGCGGGCTTCCGATGACCGCAATGCTGAACGGGCAGTGTGCGCGTGCGCACACCGGCCCGTTCAGCATTTATCTTCCGAGCACCGTTCTAACCAGCCGAGAATCGTACGATTCCCGGCTGGTTTTCGAACATGCTGGTTCGACAGAAGACGTGCGACCGTACAGTAGAAACGGTCGCACGTCTCCGTTCACACTGCTCGATTATCATACGAAAACCCGATCGCATACGATTATCGTACGATAATCGTGCAGTGTATGGGCACCTTTAAGGGATCGCCTAGAGGCAGTCAGTGTGGTAGATAGATGGACAGGTTGGGGTAGAGAGTTCCATAGGATGGGAGAGACTCTAGTGAAGTCCTGGAGGCGAGCAGGGGGGGAGTTGATGAGGGAGCTGGAAAGCAGAAGGTCTTGTAACCTAGGACCTCGGCATGGGGGGAGGGCTGGATAGTTGTGTTATCAATCTCTACGGAAAAGTTGGGGGGAAGGTGCACGGCGAGAGTCATCTTTGATGTTAAACAGAAAGGGTCCATTATACATGTTAGTAGTGAAATGACAGAGAATCTTTAGGAATAAAAGGAACTTGATTAATAGTTTTTATAGTTCACTTGCTTATTATCTGGTGCAGGACCCTGATGTAGTACCTTAAAAAGTCTCCCATTGGATGAGCAGTTTCTGCACTTCAGGAAAACCTCCCTGTTTTGCATAGTGGCTGATGCCTCCTCATCTCGCTAGGCGGGGGAGCACAAAACGTACAATGGCAGCTATGGAGCACGCCTACATTTGTTCTCTTTTGTGGGAAAGCATCATCTGTATTATTTAAGGAATGCAGGCAACTATATGGTAAGATCCAGTAGCAAATATATTTATTTTAGATCATTGCGCAGATTTAATCACCAATAAAATTAACAATACAATAAGTGACCCATTGTCTTGCTCTTTACATTATGTGACCCCTTGTCTTCCTCTTTACAATAAGCGACCCCTTGTCTTCTTATTTAAAGGAAGTGACCCCTTGTCTTCTTATTTAAAGGAAGTGACCCCTCGTCTTCCTCTTTACATTAAGTGACCCCTTGTCTTTCTGAAGTATCGAGGACCCAGGGCCGTACTCCACTCTGCCCTGCCATTGCGCCCAGCATGGAGCCGAGCCTGTTGCGCTCACCTGCCTGCCTTCTACTGGAGCCTTTCCTCCTGCCATACTGCACCACAGGGGCGGACGCCGTAGCCATCACCGTAGGTTCTCCGCTCTTCTGTCCAGCAGATGTTGGCGCGTCTCTTCGTTGCCTGGCAACGGACACCTATTAGAGCGCTAGCGAGTCTTCGTTGCTTAGTTACCAAGCAGGAAGTGGGCGGAAGTACGTCGGAAATGTCACGTGACAGCTAGACAGCGGAGGGAGGTGAGAGGCGTCATTTTTCTCAACAGGACGCACGGTTATTTCCGGGTTTATATACCTCACAAAAAGAGCGACGATAAATAACAATAAAAACAAGACTCTAGTTGGGTGAAGCACTACTTGTTGCATTTCGCTTTGTGTAAAGCTACAAAAAGATATATACATTTACACCCTCAACTAATGCACGATTTATCTTTATTCGTCGTGCTAGGGCGAAAGGGTTTGAAATTATGACATGAAAATTTGGTTTTGTTTGTGCTTCGAGACTTTGCCAACAGTAAAGATGGCAGGCGGGTTCCAGTGACGTCATCACTACCTTTTGCCCTGTAGATCATTGAGCTGGTGCTGGAGTATGAGTGCGTGCTTCTTGTCAGCCTGGAAGACGAGGGGTGTGAATGATACCACAGCTGGCACATCTAGTTCAATTTTTCTGCTAAGAAGTAAACTGATGAGAGAGGAGGGGGCTTACATCCATATTCCCTCTAAGCTGTGCCTGCATTAACTCTCATTTGGGTAAGTGCAATAAATCCTTTTTAATCTGCTGACCTTCTGGAAGGGTTCTGTGGAATCAATAGCTGATGCCAGTGTTGGATCCCTCTCCTTAATGATTGGCGGCATGCGTCTGACATTTTATTGTAGGGGATTTCTAACACGTGTCAGGTGAACAATTCATTAAGCCTATAGACCTGTTGTGACTGGTAACATGAAAACTATACTGATTGATAGCAATTATAATATATGGTTGGTTGGTTGATTGTGTAAAAAGTGCAATGAAATGGTAAATGATTGGAGACGGTGGTGGGCAGACTTCTAGATCTTCAGGGCCCACTATGCAGCCCTTGACACACAAGATCAGACATATGTATCATTCTACTTGTCAGTGACACACAAGATCAGACATATGTATCATTCTACTTGTCAGTGACACACAAGATCAGACGTATGTATCATTCTACTTGTCAGTGACACACAAGATCAGACGTATGTATCATTCTACTTGTCAGTGACACACAAGATCAGGCGTATATATCATTCTACTTGTCAGTGACACACAAGATCAGACGTATATATGATTCTACTTGTCGGTGACACAAGATCAGACGTATGTATAATTCTACTTGTCAATGGATACAATAGAATATTTAAAATGTATCTAAAGCCAAACGTTTGCTTTTTTATTTTTGTTATAGAGTAGGAAAGGGTTGGTGTCCCTCATGGCCCACCCCCATCAGGTTTAAATTGCTCTAATATATGTCCAGATGACCATAAGAGATGAACCTGGGCTTGGTGACAACCAACATTTTTCCTCACTTTCAGTCCTGGTGATGGTGGTCACAAGAGATTAGCCTGAGATTGGTGCAAACCCAGTTCACCCAATCGTGCTCAAAATTGTGACTGCCACTCCCCCTTTTTGACCAAATCAATTCCATCCCTGCCCATTTGTGACGTATAACTGTGGGGCAGAGGGGGGTTGGGTGTCAGTTCCAGTTTGGGTGGGCTTCGGGCTAACTGGGGTCACACCAGTCTCTGACTCCTCTCTAATGACCACCATCACAAGGACTGAAAGAGAGTAACAAATTTGAGTTGTCACTGAAACAGTAAAAGGGCCCATTTTAGAGATTGTGCCCCTTACTTCCAGCTATATTTATGAGAAAGGAAGTAAAAGTAATTCTTCCCAATGAGACACAGATGGCAACAATTGAAAGATTATACCTATTCCGTACACTTCAAAATGATCCGTCAAAACAAAAGGAATTCAAAGTCTAAAGGTGCCCATACACCTTACGATTATCGGACGAAACTTTTTGTCCGATGATCGAATAGTCGTACGATTTTCGTACGGCAGCCCCATCCTGCCCCGATGATCGCAAGATTAATTTAGCCGTAATTAACGAGAAGCACCTGGACGTAATGCTGCAAAGTTTTCAAACATGCTTGACCGTCAAAAGTCGTACGATTGTACAGTAATGTCGGTTCGCGCACTCTATTCACACGTACGATTGTCGTTCGAAAAGTCGAACGCATACGATTATCGTCCGATAATCGTAAGGTGTATGGGCACCTTTTAGCATTCATTTTCTGGCTAAAGTAGCCACAGCCAGGAGCTGCAGAGTGGGACCCTTGTTCTCTGTGTGGAAGCAGTGGTCTCATTGCAGAGGTCTAATATGCCCCCCACTGAGTCAGAGCTAGAGCTCACCAATCAAAGAGGAGCATGAGCTTTGCTGATTGCAGAGCTAAAGATTTGACTCAGTAGTGGGCTTTGTTGGAACTTTGCAGACCACTGCTTCCATATAGAGAGCAAGATTCACTTTGCAGCTGCTGGCAGGAGACCTAATAACCCCTAGCTGGTGGTTTTGTTCCACTCTGCAGCTGCTGGCAGGGGACCTAACCCCTAGCTGGTGGTTTTGTTCCACTCTGCAGCTGCTGGCAGGGGACCTAACCCCTAGCTAAGGGTTGTAGACTGCCCCGGCCCACTTAGAGTCTAAGTCTTGTGTAAGCTCCATGTCAGATGGTGTTGGCGCTTACACAGGGGTTGGTGACTTCCTTCTCCTCACACGACATTGTTCGGAACTGAAAATTGCTGCTTAGGGCTAAGCACTGCATCCTGGTTTATACATTACCCTACACAGAAGAATCAAATATTTTATGAATGCCCCAGCTGGGGAGCACGGTGACGGTAAGTAAGTAGGGGGGAGGGCTTTCACGAGTGACAGGGTCTCCCTAAGGGGCACCAATTAATGACATACTTATCTTTCCTAGAGGAAACCAGTGGTCCTGCGGGTGTTGCAATTGTGGTCTCATGGTCTCTTCTGCTGGGCCTTAGAGGTATCATTTAGGGAGAGCTGAGCAGTCAGTGCCTAAAAACGGATCCTATCCTTTAGCAGAGACCCTGTGGCCAATGCCTAGGCACCTGGACAGGTGAGTATTTCCACTTGTTTTCCTTTTAATGAACTCAATGCAGCAAATTTTTGAAGGTAGTTGGGCATGTTACTTCAACTATCGGTGCACTTTAATGCAACTATTATCTATGTTAACACTTATATTTACACACGGATTAAAGAAGAGCTCCGGGGAAGACGCAAACAAACAGGTTTATTTCTTTATTATGGGGAATGCACGAAGAGTAGTTGGGACACATCAAGGTGGGCAGGAACACCCAAGACTCCAAGGTGAATAAGAAGAGAATCTGGTATTATGGCAGGGAGATACAAGACATCTCAGAAACCAATGGCTTATATGACACACAAGATCAGACATATGTATCATTCTACTTGTCAGTGACACACAAGATCAGACGTATGTATCATTCTACTTGTCAGTGACACACAAGATCAGACGTATGTATCATTCTACTTGTCAGTGACACACAAGATCAGACGTATGTATCATTCTACTTGTCAGTGACACACAAGATCAGGCGTATATATCATTCTACTTGTCAGTGACACACAAGATCAGACGTATATATGATTCTACTTGTCGGTGACACAAGATCAGACGTATGTATAATTCTACTTGTCAATGGATACAATAGAATATTTAAAATGTATCTAAAGCCAAACGTTTGCTTTTTTATTTTTGTTATAGAGTAGGAAAGGGTTGGTGTCCCTCATGGCCCACCCCCATCAGGTTTAAATTGCTCTAATATATGTCCAGATGACCATAAGAGATGAACCTGGGCTTGGTGACAACCAACATTTTTCCTCACTTTCAGTCCTGGTGATGGTGGTCACAAGAGATTAGCCTGAGATTGGTGCAAACCCAGTTCACCCAATCGTGCTCAAAATTGTGACTGCCACTCCCCCTTTTTGACCAAATCAATTCCATCCCTGCCCATTTGTGACGTATAACTGTGGGGCAGAGGGGGGTTGGGTGTCAGTTCCAGTTTGGGTGGGCTTCGGGCTAACTGGGGTCACACCAGTCTCTGACTCCTCTCTAATGACCACCATCACAAGGACTGAAAGAGAGTAACAAATTTGAGTTGTCACTGAAACAGTAAAAGGGCCCATTTTAGAGATTGTGCCCCTTACTTCCAGCTATATTTATGAGAAAGGAAGTAAAAGTAATTCTTCCCAATGAGACACAGATGGCAACAATTGAAAGATTATACCTATTCCGTACACTTCAAAATGATCCGTCAAAACAAAAGGAATTCAAAGTCTAAAGGTGCCCATACACCTTACGATTATCGGACGAAACTTTTTGTCCGATGATCGAATAGTCGTACGATTTTCGTACGGCAGCCCCATCCTGCCCCGATGATCGCAAGATTAATTTAGCCGTAATTAACGAGAAGCACCTGGACGTAATGCTGCAAAGTTTTCAAACATGCTTGACCGTCAAAAGTCGTACGATTGTACAGTAATGTCGGTTCGCGCACTCTATTCACACGTACGATTGTCGTTCGAAAAGTCGAACGCATACGATTATCGTCCGATAATCGTAAGGTGTATGGGCACCTTTTAGCATTCATTTTCTGGCTAAAGTAGCCACAGCCAGGAGCTGCAGAGTGGGACCCTTGTTCTCTGTGTGGAAGCAGTGGTCTCATTGCAGAGGTCTAATATGCCCCCCACTGAGTCAGAGCTAGAGCTCACCAATCAAAGAGGAGCATGAGCTTTGCTGATTGCAGAGCTAAAGATTTGACTCAGTAGTGGGCTTTGTTGGAACTTTGCAGACCACTGCTTCCATATAGAGAGCAAGATTCACTTTGCAGCTGCTGGCAGGAGACCTAATAACCCCTAGCTGGTGGTTTTGTTCCACTCTGCAGCTGCTGGCAGGGGACCTAACCCCTAGCTGGTGGTTTTGTTCCACTCTGCAGCTGCTGGCAGGGGACCTAACCCCTAGCTAAGGGTTGTAGACTGCCCCGGCCCACTTAGAGTCTAAGTCTTGTGTAAGCTCCATGTCAGATGGTGTTGGCGCTTACACAGGGGTTGGTGACTTCCTTCTCCTCACACGACATTGTTCGGAACTGAAAATTGCTGCTTAGGGCTAAGCACTGCATCCTGGTTTATACATTACCCTACACAGAAGAATCAAATATTTTATGAATGCCCCAGCTGGGGAGCACGGTGACGGTAAGTAAGTAGGGGGGAGGGCTTTCACGAGTGACAGGGTCTCCCTAAGGGGCACCAATTAATGACATACTTATCTTTCCTAGAGGAAACCAGTGGTCCTGCGGGTGTTGCAATTGTGGTCTCATGGTCTCTTCTGCTGGGCCTTAGAGGTATCATTTAGGGAGAGCTGAGCAGTCAGTGCCTAAAAACGGATCCTATCCTTTAGCAGAGACCCTGTGGCCAATGCCTAGGCACCTGGACAGGTGAGTATTTCCACTTGTTTTCCTTTTAATGAACTCAATGCAGCAAATTTTTGAAGGTAGTTGGGCATGTTACTTCAACTATCGGTGCACTTTAATGCAACTATTATCTATGTTAACACTTATATTTACACACGGATTAAAGAAGAGCTCCGGGGAAGACGCAAACAAACAGGTTTATTTCTTTATTATGGGGAATGCACGAAGAGTAGTTGGGACACATCAAGGTGGGCAGGAACACCCAAGACTCCAAGGTGAATAAGAAGAGAATCTGGTATTATGGCAGGGAGATACAAGACATCTCAGAAACCAATGGCTTATTGGGGACACATATTCCTGGTCTATGTGGCTCTGTCTCATGTGAGCTGTAAATAGAGGAAGCCCAGAAATACCTCCCATTGCTGGATCCTGTGCTAAGGAGAAAGGAACGTGCTGTCTGTGGCACCACACAGAATGCAGTGACTATCAGTCACCACCCCTGGCTGGGGGATACCTCCCTCCCCTCTCAATTTTCCAGAGCTTATTGGAGGGACGGACAAGGGAGGGGGCGGGCACAGCTGGCTCTAGAGAGGCAGAGCCAGCTGTCAAGTCGGGGAGCGGGATAAACCTAATATTGTGGGGATCCTTCCTGGCTGCAGCGTGGCTCTGTGCTTTCAGCATACAGCGGGCAGTAGGGGCATTACATTTATATAAAAAATATACATTTGCCTATAACTTCCTTTTTTAAGGTGAACTTGCAAAATAAAAGCATGACAGAAAATCTATTTACTGTAAAAGAAAAAAACAAGGCTCAGTGCTTGATAAGAAAGTGCTATTGACTTGCTCCTTGATCCCATTTTTTTGCTGGAGGTGAGTATATGAGAGAATCTGCTCAGTATGTAATGAAATTGTTTTCCCCCCAGACCAGGTACCACAGACTCGCAAGATGATTCAACAACATTTTCACCTTTTCACTTTGTATCTTTTTTTTTTTTTCTGCAGGTCATCTCAAAGACATCAGCCCAGTCACAGAGATGAAGATACTGCTAGTTTTTGATTTTGACCACACAATTGTTAATGATAACAGCGACACATGGATCGTCCAGTGTGCCCCTGATAAAACGCTCCCAAACGTGCTGCAAAATTCTTACGAGAAGGGAAAATGGACAGAGTATATGGGCCGGATCTTCACCTACCTCGGAGAACAGGGCATACGAGGGGATGACATGAAAAGAATTATGATCGCTATACCATATACACCGGGCATGACTGAGCTTCTCCATTTCATTGGCCAGAACAAGGATCACTTTGATTGCATCATTATCTCCGACTCGAACACCATCTTTATTGACTGGATTCTGACGCACGCAAATGTTAACAATGTTTTCGATCAAGTGTTTACAAACCCTGCAGCCTTCGATCGGTTTGGAAATCTTACTGTCCAAAACTTTCACGTCCATCACTGTACGTCGTGCCCGAAGAACCTATGTAAGCGGAAAGTATTAGAGGAATTTGTAGCCAAGCAGGCCACCAACGGCGTTCAGTATTCTAAAATAGTTTATATCGGAGATGGCAGCAATGACCTTTGCCCAGTAACTTACCTGAAGAAGGAAGATATTGCCATGCCGCGGGAAGGCTATTCATTGCAGAAGCACATTGCTAAGGAGATTGAATTAATTGATTCCTCCATAAGTGTATGGTCTACAGGCAATGAAATACTGGCTCATCTGAAGCTATTGCTGGAGGGGTAACACTCCAGTATAACATATTTTCTGTTATACCACAAGTACTTTGTAGTGCGTTTCATAATATATGAGCAAGCTGCAGGTTGTCTTTAATTATACTGTACTTCATGTCGCCTGAGTATTTATATCTCTTCAATAAACCTTTTCTTGGTTAAAAAAAAAAATCAGTATAATATTCTAATTATTTTTCTGACTTGCAAAACATGTTCAAAGGTTTTCGTAGGCAAATACAGATTTCTCTTGCTTTCAGGTTTTGCCTTAAATAAAGCAGACAGTCATAGGGCTTGTCTCGGGATTGGCTGGTAACAAACGGATGTTGTTCTGCCTCTTCAGTCTAAGCATTGAAAGTGTGATCTCTGTAACTTACAGTTGTGGTGAGATGGCAATAACTCCAAATCTCAGTAGAGTTGGCAGACCGTGACTCGATCCATATGACACCTTGAAGATCGTTGAGAAGTTTAATCCAAAATGTGCAGCGGACATCGGATACATCAAAAGTTCCTAATGTGATCCACTTAGCAAAAGACATGCTGTTGAGATACAGATGGAACATAATGAAGAAGGGTGGAGCTATCTACACAGAGGAAAACTGAACTATGGGGAGGGGTGGAGACACATATCAGCAACAGATGAAACACAATCTTAAAGGCATATCACAAAGCATGTGTAACATGACAGATATTAAAGTCTAACCCCCCCCCCCCCATATGCTGCTTTAAGGACTTGCCTTAAATGATGCCTCTTGATCCGATCATCTTCTTCTTTCATGTAGTTTTCAGGAGTCCCTCCAGCGCTGGTGCCAGTCTCTGATCCAGCGCTGATTCCTGTCTTTTCCTGTCCCAGGGATGCTGTGTGGGTACATGCTGTCTGCATTGACTTACCCTGTGTCTCTCATCGTCTCCCGGGCAAAGATCTCTTCTGTACATGCGTCCGCCCCATTATCATGTTCGGCCGCCCAAGAGTCTTGAGGTGGGAACGCGTGGCGGAGAAACAGGTACATTTTTTTAACCTTTTTTTTTTTTTTTCATGTTTTTGCATATGTCTACTGCTTGTTAGGAGCCAATAAACCTACCAGCATGTCTTTGGAGTGTGGGAGGAAACTGGAGTACCCGAGCCACGCAAGCACAGAGAGAACATGCAAACTCCTTGCAGATAGTGTCCTGACCGGAATTTGAATGGGCAAAAGTGCTAACCACTACCCCTGGGCCACCCAATATATTGTCTTTGTCCAGTGGTTAAGAATTGCACAATCTGCTGTCATTCTTCCTGCTTTTAAATGTGCATAAATATCTACAGTATTTTTAAAGGATGGCAGTCTAAATAAATACCAAATCAAGTTACTATATAATGCACAAGCCTCAAAAGTAAACAAAATGCTTCCTCTACCTTCCCTGACTGAGCTACAAAGTCCTTTATTTGTCCCTCACACACTACCCCTCCCAGACACTGCAGCTGTGTGTGTGGGGGAGGGGGGGGGGTCAGCAACAGAGGCAGTGCTGCCAATCCAGAAAGCAGTAGGTAGATCTAGGTGTGGCCAGGTGGTGATTGACAAGCTACAGGCTTGTGAATCAGCCGTGACAATGCTGATAGATACACTACTTGCAAGCGCAAGCAGGCACAACCTACATGTGACAACTGTGCTCTGAATTCTTTGCCATAAAAATCATTATTTTGAGCTCTCATTGGTTGTCATTGCTGAAAATATTGGATGGTAGGGCAAATAACGATCACCGTACCATTGAGGCTGTGATTCACTACATTGCATTAATTAGAGAGGTCTTTATATAAAGTAGTATTAAACTATCAATCTTTTTTTCCCAATAATGAATACAGATCAAAAAATATTTAAAAAAAATGTGGAACCAGCACACGATGATCTTCCAAAGAAATCCATACTTTATTCCACATGCATCTATACAAAGCACAACCGCTGACGCGTTTCTGCCTTACTGTGCCTTGATCCGCTATGACTAAGGCCCAGTAAGGCAGAAACACGTCAGCGGTTGTGCTTTGTACAGATGCATGTGGAATAAACTTTGATTTTCTTTGGATGATCATCGTGTGCTGGTTCCACAGTTTTTGAGCCTATTACTCCAGAAGAGAGTCATCCGTGCACCGAATGTGGATTGTGGGGACGCATGATAGGGGTGAGCTGTGCGCTTCGTGTTTTCAGTCAAACAAATATATACTGCCCAGCAAAGTATTTCTTTATATTTGTGCCCAAGCACTTACAGTCATCATGTTTTTCGAACAACATACTGCAACTTCCTCAGCTCCACTTACCTGAACTTCCTGTTTAGTGCAAGATCACGGGACAGCACAGTCTCCAGCAGCCGTCTATTTACTAATGTGGAGAAAGGAGGAGAGGGTGGTTTGCCTCTGTGTTTGTGGAGACGCAGCTTTCTAGAACACATAAGGATGTCTCCATTGGACCGTGCAAGGAAAGGAGCCACCCTAAACCAGGGCATCGGAGCCACTGCATTCTGCAGGAAATTGACCATTTTAAACATCAAGGAGCAGAATCCATTGAACTTGATGTCATCAGCATTAAAAAAGGTAAAAATAATTGTGACGTTATCACTTTAATTTTCCTTTTTATGGTACAGTGGAGCTTTATTAGATCAGAAGGTATTTACATCTCTTTACATATCCCAAAAATAAAAAGGATTCCTCTGTTCAGGACAATGGATGGAGCCATGCAAATCATTCCTTTATGCCACAATGACTAACTGCACATCCAGAACCGCTGTTGTATAGTAAAGTGTAGCCAATTATTATAGAGTCAGTTATTCTAATTTTCATGGTGGAAGGTTGTTTGGTTCCTTTAGTCTCCTCCCGACTATAACTTTCTGGGTTCTTTCTCATTTGTCTCCAAACCCTACGCCATGGAAGCCATGGTTTCCTGATATTGCACGGATGATGGCCAATATATTGCCAAAATCACTGTATGCCAGGGACGTGCGGTCAATGTGGGCAGGTGAGGCAGAGCCTCACCTAGTATTTTGGAGGAAAAGGCTGTCAGCTTCAAATCTTTCTCCATTCAGAGCTTATAACAGGTTACACAGCAGGGAAAGCCTCCCCACTGTGTATCCGGTCATGGACGGAGTGCTGCCTGTTAATTACAGCCGGCACTGCATCCAGCTTTTGACAGCTAAATTAAGTTACACAGCATCGGGCCTACCCACTACTGTGTAACCTAACATAGTGAGGCAAGAGCTGCGACAGCCTCTACTCTGTTAGAGGTGTGAGCTCTGTGGATGGTTTGGGCCAATGGCAAAGCGCCATTGGTCCAAGCTGTCCAATCAAAAAAAACAGAGGGCACCGATCTTAATGGTTTACTAGTGACGAACAAGTGAGGGGCAGGGAGGCCCCTCCCTGTCTCCTCCCTCCTTCACACATAGATTGGGGGCGGGGCTTTGGCAGGTTGGGAGCGGGGCTTTGGCAGGTTGGGAGCGGGGCTTGGGAATGCCTCACCCAGCATGGAAGGTACTGCTCGTCACAGTTTCCAAGAACTGATAAACAGGGACTGAAAGCATCTGAACAGAGTCTTTGCTGTGTAGGGCAGCCAGCCAGCAACTGCTGTGCAATGCATAATTTGCTGTAGGTGTAGAATAGAACGTGATTGGTTGCAGTGGGTGACGGATATGGGTGTTTAGAATCTGACATGCAGCTATTTTGTTTGTGGAATTGATGATCAGCCTTTCACCTCATTAGAAATGTAACTGATAGGCTGTTGTTATGAATGTTGGCTCAGGCCTTGGAACATGGTGATGACAGGGTCACTTTAACACTTTGACCTGCCGTTGGCTGTTTGCTTTATTCATTGACATATCCGAGATCTTTTCAATACGATTTGCATGTTCCGGAGACATGCGAGTACCACTGCTTTGAATACATTTAATTTAATTAATACAACAATCCTGAGGCTATACAAATGAAAGGTTAACTTTTACTTATCAGGCTAATATGAGGTGTTTTTTTTTTTAACTGCACAAATAGCATATTAACCCCTTCAGCATAAGCTGTCAAAACATGCAAACAGATGGGTAAGTAATTTGTATTCTCCTTTAAAAAAAAAAAAGAAGAAGATTGCAGTATTTGATTTAAAGATTGTGGGATGAATGTATAGGGATGAGTGCATATGTACAGTGTATCCCAATCCAGCACAATGGATACTCCAAGAGCGGGTACAAAATGGGGAAATGATTGGCTATTCACAAAGTTGATGATTACACTACTATGCTTCATAATATCACACGCCTGGTGTCTTTTAAGAAACCCTGTCATGTCTCATAAAACGTCCAGCCACTCCAGTGATCTGTGAAAGAGAGATCTCGTCATGGAAAGAGGTTGGAAATTTTATGTTGTGATCTCCACAGCTTAATATTTTCCTAATCACACTTTGTGCAATCGGATTCACCGTTGTAATGTTTTCAGAATCTAAAAACTATCCTCCAGAGCTGTCCACATTAATGGAGCCGTGTGATGAGCTCAGCTTGTCTCTGGTCAGCATTATTGCTTTTTTTTTTTCAGAATGCATGAAAGGGGGAATAATACCCAGAGGTCAACAGGGGGAATAATACACCCAGATGTAGAAGGGGAGGGGGAATAATACCCAGAGGTCAACAGGGGGAATAATACACCCAGATGTAGAAGGGGAGGGGGAATAATACCCAGAGGTCAACAGGGGGAATAATACACCCAGATGTGGTAAGGGATGGGGGTGGTATAATACACACGGGGAATAATACACCCAGATGTAGAAGGGGAGGGGGTATAATACAGCCAGAGGTGGACAGGGGGAATAATACACTCAGATGTGGAAAGGGATGTGGGGTGGTATAATACACACAGAGGTGTACAGGGGGAATAATACACCCAGATGTGGTAAGGGATGGGGGTGGTATAATACACACGGGGAATAATACACCCAGATGTAGAAGGGGAGGGGGTATAATTACACCCAGAGGTGTACATGGGGAATAGTACACCCAGATGTGGAAAGGGAGGGGGGTGGTATAATACACCCAGAGGTCTACAGGGGGAATATTACACCCAGATGTGGAAAGGGAGGGGGTTGTGTAATACACCCAGAGGTGTACATGGGGAATAGTACACCCAGATGTAGAAGGGGAGGAGGGTGGTATACTATACCCATTGGTGAACAGGGGGAATAATATACCCAGCTGGAAAGGGAGGGAGTGGTATAATACACACAAGGGTGTAAAGGGAGAGGGTGGTATTACACACGCAGAGGTGAACAGGTTGTATAATATACTCAGATGTTGAAAGGGAGTAGGGTGGTGTAATAATTATTAAGTGAAGTTGGGTATACTGCACTCAATGGAGAAATGGTTTGGAGATAATACACCCAGACTGAACAGGAGAGAAAACACACTAAGAGGTGAACAGATGAGATAATGAATAGAGAGGAGGGCAGGTGGAATAATACATCCAGAGATGAATAGGAATGGGGGGGGGGGGGGGAAAAAACACAAGAGTGGAAACCAGATAATGCCATAAAGTTGGTGTTATTTCCTTCTTGCCGGTCTAAAGTGCCCTTATTAACCTCATGCTACTGACTTTGGGGGGGGATAATAAACCCAAGGGTGAACAGGGAAGATGACACACGTAAGGATGGCCAGGGCAGAACATGAGCTGAAGGTACACAGGGAAAAAGCACCTAAGGGGGGGCAGCGATGGTAAGAGCAGTATTCATTGAGAGCTCCATCTGCTCCACTTGATTCTGAGAAATATTCTGCTGGTTCAGTGCAGTTTATCCTTGCCATGTCTACACCACTGGGTTCTCCAGAGTCTCCCACGCCTCAGAGATGGTTAAAATTGGTTCTGCAGCAACTAAAACCGTGGCAAAGTAGGGATCCCTTCCAAGATGTTTGCTGCTGCCCAGTGCAGGAGGCACACCTCATCCTGCAAAAGGAAATTTGCTCAGGAATAGTCTTCACAATATTATGCAACTGAATCAGGGGAATTGTCTCCAGCAAGAGAAACTTCTGGGGATGTCAGTAAGGGGGAAGAAGGGTATAGAGCTGACCATTAAAGCTGAACTCCAGGTATACATTTGTATGCACACTTACATTTATCCAACATGGCCCAGTGTAAGTAGACATGTGTGTTTGTTTTTTGACCTGGTCGGCCCATGGGGACCCTGTACAGCACTGTAGTTAACTCCAGAGTTTAGTGTCACTTCAAGTACTAAGTAAAAAGTGTTCAGATTTAATGCTTCATATCTAAACATTTCAGCTCATCAGACTTTCATTAGTGTCGAGACGACGCTCATCCTACAAACATTCTGATGGACCGCAGGTATTCAATTTCTCTATTTGATATAACTGAGGACATTGTGCTGACTCATTTCCTGCGTTGTTTTCTCTGGATGTAAATACAGACACTTGTTTCCCACAGAGCTGTACAATAACAGCGTGCAACCTGATCTGCTCTGCTGACACCTTACTGTTCAGGACAGGATATGTTATCAGGTGTGTCAATGGATTGTGTTTTCTCTGCTTGCTGTGTGGAATAGTGTGCTACTATCACTTGTATCAAATGGATCTACAATGGTCATTAAAAGAGCCAATTCATACAAAACCGATTCTCCATTTTTGTATGAAGTGCAATAAGGTTTGATTCTCCACTTTTCACCTCTTGCATGATTGCCTCAGGCTGAAAGCCAAGCTGATTGTGTCACAAGCCTGGGAGTTTTCACAAATATCCCTATGGAGAATCCGCTCTTGCGGTGTTTCCTAAATCTGGCCTTAAAGTGACCCATATATTCCTTTTGTTATCAGGGATCTCAACCTGAAAAAAGTAATTTCAGGGAGGTGCCCTTCTCATTTCAGGGATTCAGGGAGGTGCCCTCATCCACGTGGGAGGGGGAGGGGGGGAGCACCCCGCTGAAATGATGGCAGATAGCAAAGAAGCTAATGCTACCCTTACTATCTGCTGGGTTTTTTTTTTATTCTGACAGCTGCTGCCGTCAGAATAATAAAATAAAAAATACCTGCATAAAAATGAATAGCTACATTGCTATTGGCTATTTCAATTTGCAATAGTCAATAGCAAGCTGGCTATTGCATCCG